GTCCCCGAAGTTTAAGGGTAATATCTCTCAACCCGGGCATCGGGGGACCTATCCGAGTAGACGCTTGCGTAGTGCTCTTGGAGATAAGGTGTTTCAAAAAAAAAATCGCCCCAATCGGACCCTGGTGCTAGGATTTATGCCCTTCCGAGTTTACCATGTCCTCGGGATTCTACTCAAAAGTAGGGAATAATGCGATTTTTGCTCTCGAAAATGCTGTATTATCGTAGATCTTGATTTTTTCGTATGAAAACGAGTATTCACTTGACCCGAGGGGTTTTGTATTTTGTATTTTATGACAATTTAAAACTTTCGTTTTACTTATTTCTTACAAACCGCAATTCTCCTTTGTGATGTTATAAAGCTATATAGTATTTATCTGCACTAATTATTCCATAGTTGCGCATGGCTCAGATGGTTGGTAATTGTCATTTCATATATTTACATCACAGGTTCGATCCCCATGTATGACTTGATTTTCTTTAATTTTTTTTTTTTTATTTATTTTTTTTAAATTGTACATAAAACGCTGCCTCAGACAGCGTTTTACCCCTTTTTTTTTTGGCGTTTTACCAATTGAATTTTTTTTTTAAACCAGGGCATAAACGCTGTCCGAGACAGCGATTTACCTATTGAATTTTTTTTTTAAAAAAAATCCAGGGTAAAACGCTGTCCCAGGCAGCGTTTTACCAATTGAATTTTTTTTTAAAAAAATCCAGGGATAAAACGTTGTCCGAGACAGCGTTTTACCCTCGAAGCTTAGTTTGGTAAATAGTTTTGCCACGCGTCCAAAGTGGTAAATATTTTGCCAATTTGGCTCAATTTGGAGAAAAATCCAAGATTTTCAGTGTTCGAGTTTGTACACACCCGATTTATGTTAAGATATGATTTGATATTATTGAGATATATTAGTTGTCATAAGATAGAGATGTGTTAAGATTTGATCATAGCTTGGATTCTCTACTTATTTATCTCTATTATTATTGTACTCTATATATTTGGCCAAGAGCCTCAATACAAAGCAAGTGTTTTCCACATAATTATTTTACGAAATGGAAAAACATCCTCAAAAAATTTCACATCTTTAGAAACGAAAAACTCTTTTCTATCAAGATCATACAATATCCACCCCTTTATGCCAAACGGATACCCCAAAAAAAAAAAAATTTCGACTCCGACTCTCAAATTTATCACCTTTGGTTTTCTGATTATGGGCGAAACATAAACACCCAAAAGTACGAATAGCATTGTATGAAGGAGGAAAGCCAAATAAAATCTCAAAGGGAGTTTTGTTGTCTAACAAAGGAGATGGGGTCCGATTAATTAAATGTGCGCTGCAAAAATACACTCTCCCCAGAAATAGATAGGTAACTTGGCTTGAAAACGCAAGGCTCTAGCAACATTCAAAATGTGTTTATGTTTTCGTTCAACTCTATCATTTTGTTGTGGAGTCCCAACACAAGAGGTATAAAACAAAATTCCGGTGGCATTAAATAATCGCATCCAAACAATTAAATTCCGTACCATTATCACTTTGAACAATTTTAATTGTTTGAGAAAATTGACGATCAATCATTGCAATGAAATTCATAAATATACGAAAAACTTCTGTCTTATCACCCAACAAGTAAACCCACACAGCACGGGAAAAATCATCAACTATTGTCAAAAAATAACGAGCTCCACAAGAAGAAGCATGTCTATACAAGCCCCACAAATCACAATGTATTTTCTTAAATATGCGACTCGCTTTATTATCACTAGAAATAAATTTGTCCCTAGGGTGTTAAGCCCGAAAACAAACTTCACAATTTTAATCTAAGCTACCCTTAAGACTATCAAGAGGAAGTAACTTCACTACATTTTCCGAAGGATGACCAAGGTAAGCTTGTGCCATAGTTCTAACTGAGATGTCACACCATTCACCGAAATATATTGCACTGAGTTTCCTTCGAAGTAGTAAAGTCCATCTCGTCTAGCACCCGTTCCAATCAGCGTCCCTTTTTGGTCTTGTATAGCACACAAAGATGAGTTAAATTTGACAATACAATGCACGCAAATCATCGTTAAGTTGTGAAACTAAGATCAAATTACAAGCCAAGTTGGGAACATAAAGAACATGTTTTAACACAACTGATTTCGATAACCGAACCGAGCCTTCCTTCTCTGCAAGAACGGTCTCACCATTCGGTAGGCCAATCGGACAATCAAATATAGGTGTTGAATTAAACAACCAAGTGTCATTGCCTGTTACATGATGTGAGGATCCCGTATCAACAATCCACAAATTATTATTGAACTTACCGTTCAACCTATTATCCGACACCTTACGCAATAGCCTTCCATTGATCCGCAGTGAAAATCTGAGAAGCCGACGAAGACCTATTGTTGCTGCCAGGGACAGCAACCCCTATGCCTGTGCTATGCGTGGCATTGGCCCGAGGTGTGCCTCTACCTCTACCTCGACCACGCCCCCTACCATCGGTCTTGGTCTCATTTTCAAATCGAACCGAAACCTAACTGTCAAACCGTTTTGACAGTACTAATTAAAACTCAAAGGCAAGGAGTATCCTATCACCATGTGTAACTTTCTTTTATTATTTAGCTACGTCATCAAATATTGCCACATAATCATGTGAATAATAATTGAGATGATTATAAACAATTGGGCTTCTAATTGGCTTGATTGTAAAATTATATCATTTAATTGTCTTTATTGTAAAATAATACGAGTAATTAACTAATTAAGTGATTAAATTGAATAATTAAGATGATTATAATAATTGCTTGAATAAGTAACTTGTAGGCGTCATTCGAAGCGCGCCTATGTTAAGCATGTTGTGAATATGCTTGGCACTCTTAGGAAGTGGGAATTGACATTATACGATTAGGGACAAGGAAAGTAGAGAGCCGCCAACAAGTTTTTAAGGAACTTGTAAACCATTCACGGATCATTTAAGACAACCACGATTAAGGAACAACGATAGGCAACAACAATTGACCCGTGAAGGTTACACACCATTCATAATAATCCATGAGATTACTAACTCCATATGGTTCGGAACCACGAAAGGAGGATCGGGGATGATGGTACGAAGTGAGCCATGGAGTCACATTCGCCCGTATTGGCCTCTACTCGATTCTTATAGCGAAAAGTGATTCTTGCGATCTCAAAGGCACACAAATAAAGATTCAATTTGCTCCAAACTATATTAAGCTAAATTGGTTGAATATTAATGCAACATATAACTCTAAACTATTGTGATCACTTCAATTAAACAACAAGATTAAAAAGGAACCTAAACCGGTCGTCCAAATTGAAAATTAATTTAAACTAAAGTAGAGTTGATTTGGGGCCAAACTCTCAAACAGTTTTACCTTTCACGCCTTGGTTTAAGCGTAGAGTTGTGGGTAAAGTACAGGCTCCGGGGAGTGCTTAGGGGATGTATTGTGAGAGAATAGGGTAGGCTAGTGTTTAGGCTAGAGCATAAGAAAGAAAGAGAGAATGATTTGGTACCCCGAGACTGAGGAAACAGCCTCGTATTTATAGAGGAAATGAACAGGGTGATGCACGAAACCCTAGAAATGAAATGCGCCGCGGAGGAAACCCGGCCGCGTCACTGCAGGATTTGCCGCGACACGACGCAATTTGCCGTGACACGGCAGGAATTGCCATGGCGCGACATTTCTGCTGTGACATGGCAAATCTGTTTCCAGAAATCCTTCTAAATTCATTTTAACCTTTTTCTTAAGCATTAAGCACGTGTTAATTAGGCGTCATTTTCAGCTGTTTCGGACTTATTTCAAGCTTAGGGTTTTATTATTTATTAATCGGGCTTAATTAATAAATTAAACGAAATGAATTAAAAAGGGTTGGGTTGAAATGTGAGTTGGACTTAGTTGGAATGAATGTTTAGACTGGTTTGTTGACTGATTTGTATGCTGTGTTTGACTGAACATGGATTTTAAGCACTCACGAGATTAAATACTTGACCCGAACAATAATGACGGTGAAAGTTTGTTCATCATCGGGTTTAGTTTTGGAGAGACATTTTTAGGTGTCTTCATAACTGTTATTTCTATTCAAAAAAAAAAAAACATAACTGATATTCCAAAGATTTTTGCTCGAATATAATTCTCTGATTAAATTAGATCTGCATGTAAAAACAAAATTCAGTAAACAAAACATAAGCATATAATCAATAAGTATCCGAATAAACACAATTTAAGCAATAATCACAAATATACATTTAAACATGGGTTTTAAAAATTAGGCTAAGAATTACCCAGCCATTGATGACCTAATAAAACTGACACAAAATTAATGACACAAAATTTGCTTGGTTTAGTTTTGTATTGATACGAAATTTTGTTGGTGTCATATGATGCGTCACTTTATAATGGTAAATATCACAAATTTTAATTTAATTATAATTAAGGAATTATTTTTATTTCTTATCATAAACACTATCAAAATTTATCTTATAATAGTATGTACGTAGTATATAAATCCTATATCTAAAGATGATTATTTTAAAAGATAATTTTTAGTTTTTTAAATAAATTAAATCCTAACAAATCAATATTCGTTGTTTTTACTTACGTGGCAAAATTCATAATTCTCATTCGTAACTTTTGTTTAGGTGGCAAACGAATTTTTAATTGATCAAAAATATACCTTTGCTTATGTAGCGCGCCGAATGCTCTTGAAAAATACTTACTTTATTTATATATATTAGATTTCAGTAATAAACATATCAGATCAGAATATACAACATTTGTCACCAATCTCATTTTTATTTAGGTTTAGTTTTTGTTAATTAAATATCATTAACTTCATTAGTAAAATTTCAACAAAATTACAACATTTGTCACCAATCTCAGCCTCAGGTAATCTGCTTTAACTTCCATTGCTCATACTATTAATTCAGTTCTTTTTATTTAATTACGAGTATTTTTTTATTTTTTTTTTGACAAATAGTTTATTTAATTTTGATTTATTACACTTTAATTTCTTTACTGCCAGAAATGCTAAGCTAGGATTGTCCCCACTCATCAGTAGTATCACTAGTGTAAAAATGGAATAGCAACTTTATAAACATGGAAAAGTCGAAGAAATTACAACTTACTGATAAAATTGTCCCCACTCATCAGTAGTATCACTAGTGTGAAAATGGAATAGCAACTTTATAAACATGGAAAAGTCGAAGAAATGACAACTTACTGACAAAACTGTCACCATTCATCAATAATTCAATATCACTATTATTTACAAGTGTGAAAATGAAAAATCAACGTCAACATGGAAAAGTGGAAGCAATTACAGCTGGCTTGAAAGTGACTTTGTTGATTCAATAATTGAGATGTAAATGATGTGAACCACTTATTGTTGTTAGGATAACTGTTGAAATACAATTACTTGGATGGTATTTGGTTATCACCCCATTTTCACCATTACTACTTTTACTATCACTCTTCTCTTCTCCTCTTTCTCGCACAAATTTCTGCAAATCAAATCAAAAATGGACATTGGAACAGCCATGTCTGTTGCACAAACTTTGTTAGCAGCGCTGCAGTGTTCCCAGCTCAATGAGATCTGCTCCATTGCTGGCTACAAATCCAAACTCGGTGAGCTCCGTGCCACTGTCGTAAGAATCAAAGCTGTGCTCGAGGATGCTGAGGATGCTGAGGCCAAACAAGTGCTGTCCAAACAAGTACAACTCTATATTGAAGAGCTCAAGGATGCAGTTTATGAAGCCGATGATCTCTTCGATGAGTTTGTCACTCTTGCTGAGCGGAAGCAGCTCACCAAGGATCGTGTGTTTTCCGTTTTTAGCAAGTTTGGTACTGCTTACAGAATGCGTCAGGCGGTTACCAAGGATCGTATCTTTTCCGTTTTTAGCAAGTTTGGTACTGCTTACAGAATGAGTCAGGCGGTTACCAAGATCAAGAATAAGCTGGATGCTATTGCTTCTGATAAACGCTTCAGCTTGGGCGTTGATCCTAAGCCCATTAAGGATCGAAGGCCTGAGACCTGTTCCTATGTGTATGAAGCTGATGAAATCACTGGAAGAGGGCTTGATTTAGAGAAGATTGTTGGTGTGTTACTTGATTCAAATGTTCAGCAAAATGTTTCTTTTCTTTCTATTGTTGGGATTGGTGGGTTGGGAAAAACAGCGCTTGCCCAACTTGTGTATAACGATGAAAGAGTCACAACTGCATTCTCATCAAAAATGTGGGCTTGTGTCTCTGATGAGAATGAGAAGTTGTTGGATGTGCAAGGGGTTCTTGATAAGATTCTAGCTTCGGCCACAGGTGAAAAGAAGATGAATGGGGACTTTACCATGGATGTGCTGCAAAAACGACTTCGAGAACAACTTCTTGGGAAAAAATACTTGCTTGTTTTGGATGATGTGTGGACTGAAAATTATGAGCAATGGCAAAATTTGAAGCAATATTTGATGGGAGGTCAGACTGGAAGTTGGATTGTGGTTACAACGCGCTCACATCGAACTGCGGAAATCATAGGAGAGGGTCTAAAGCATGAGCTAGAAGGCTTGTCAAAGGAAGATTCATTGCGTTTACTTAAAAAAGTAGCATTTGGATCACAACACTCAAACCCTCCCGAAGACTTGGTCAAAATTGGTGAAGATATTGTAAAGGAATGTGCTTTTGTCCCTCTTGCAATTAGAGTGGTGGGAAGTCTTCTCTTTGGCCAAGAAAAAAATATTTGGCTGAAAATTCAAAAGTTGGGATTAGCGCAAATTAATAGAAGCGAACATAGCATCATACCTACATTGAAGCTGAGTTACTACCAGCTTGAATCCCCACTGAAAAGTTGTTTCTGTTATTGTGCAATTTTCCCTAAAGATTATGTGATGGAGAAGGATACATTGATAAGGCTTTGGATGGCACATGGCTACATCCCATTGAATGATCCTCAGAGTCCGGAAGATCTCGCTGAGGAATATTTCTCGATCTTGTTGCGGAGATGTTTCTTGCAAGACGTGAAGAAAGACGAAGATGGTAGCATTGAATCATGTAAGATACATGATTTAATGCATGATCTTGCTCAACAAGTTGTGGGAAAGGAGATTTGCAGAGGGGAAACCATGAATGGGGATGTAGACAAAAAAGTTCGCCATCTCTCTCTTAATTTCCCTTTTACTAATAAGAAGAGCCGCCTACGTTCATTTCTTTTGGGGTTTGATTGTGATCAGCTTTGTGTGGCTGCATTAGTAGGTAATTGGAAGTATATAAGGGCATTGGACTTGCGTGAGTCAACAATCAAGAGTTTGCCGGGCTCAATAGGTGACCTGATACATTTGAGGTACCTAGACCTCTCACATATGAGAGGTCTAGAAGTTCTCCCAGGATCTATTACAAAACTATATAATCTCCAGACTTTAAACTTAAGTCATTGTAGAGATTTGAAAGAATTGCCAAAAGATTTGAGCAAGTTGGTTAAGTTGAGGGTCTTGGATTTAACATATTGTTATGAGCTGAGGTATATGCCAAGGGGCATGCGTAAGTTGAGTTGCCTTCACACTCTTAATTTGTTTGTGTTGGGAGACATGAGTTCAAGTGAGAATAACTTACTTGAAGGGCTGGAAGATCTAAAAGCTCTAAGTAACTTGAAAGGTTCTCTTGATATCTGGGTTCGATATATGAAGACAGGTTATAAAATAAATGGTGGAAAGGAAGGTGGGTGCCTGGTGAACAAGGAACATCTGAAAGAAGTGTGCATTAATTTCCTCAATAATGGAAGAAGGGAGTATGAAGAAGCAGTGATGGAGGAGTTGCAGCCACATTCTAATCTCAAGATATTTCGGATGGTGGGATATGAAGGTGTGAGAATGCCAAGTTGGGCAAGGGACAATTATAACTTGGCAACCTTTCTCCCTAATCTTGTTCGAATAGATTTTTATTGTTGTGAGCAATTGCAGCATTTGGGACAATTACGACTTCCTCAATTGAAAAGATTAAGGTTGTTTAATTGTCCAAACCTAACAGCTATTTTGGAGTGTCCTGCATTGGAAAATATTAAGCTAGAACTAAATGAAAATATTAATCTTTCATTCAATGAAAGATTGAAAATAATACCAATATCAGGGGGAGAGGCCTCACCTTATGAAATTGGTCCCAATTTAAGGAAGGTTACAATCGACAATGTGGCATGGCTTAATTCACTGCCCATGAACTCTTTTCATGATTGTGCAAAGCTTTGCATAACTAGGGACTACAAGGTGGAAAGTTTGGGAGAAGCTATGGAGGTGTTTCGTAGCTGTTCGGCTTCCCTGAAGTACTTAAAAATTGATGGTTGCAACAAATTGAAGAGTGTACTACGTGGAGGTTTAGAGCATCTCTCTGCCTTAGAGGAGTTAGAAATTAACAATTGCGATAATTTGAATGAATCTGAAGAAGTAGAGAGAGTATCCTTTTGTCAATCCCTTCGCTCATTAAAATTGGGTTCTCTTAATCAGCTGGTACAACTGCCCAATTGGATACAGTACTTGTTTGCCCTCCAAACCCTTACTATTCACAATTGCAAAAAAGTGGAATCAATGCCAAATTGGATTTCCCAACTCACCTCTCTTAGAAAGCTTGATGTCCGGGATTGTTCAGCACAGCTGAGAGAAAGATGCCAAGAACCAACCGGAGAGGACTGGCCCCACATTCAACACATTCCTTCCATTAATTTCGTGTTCTGTTCATTATAATAGCTCCTCTGGTTTAATTATGATCAGGTGAACTATTCAACTTTTTGATCTCTGTTGTATAAGTGTATTTCTAGACTTAAGGATTGAATAGCTTTGTTAGTTTGTCAATGAAGAATAATTACTAATTCCCGTGTCTTGTGATTTGATGAAATGACTTCTTTTACTACAAATCTCAGCGACTCCGTATTATATATACTAGTAGGACAAGTTTCTCTTTCCGTATTATGAAATGGGTTTTGTGATGGGTTTATTAGGTGACCTAAGGTTGGTACCATTTAATTGACTTAAATATATAAGACGTAAGTGGAGTATTAAATATTTGTAAAACAAAGATAACAGGGTTTTATTGAATAGTAATGAATATAAGAGAAAATATTGTAAAACAAAAATAGTGAGTTTGGGTCGGGACCATGAGATGGGGGAGATATAATATTAAATTATAACTTTTTGACAAAAAAGAAGTGTAAGACTGTAATACCCCATATTTTTATACGTATTTTAATTTAAATAAGTATTTCTTAAAGTATTTAAATAATTCGAAATGAATTATTTATGGTTTTATTAATTTAAAAAGAATTATTATAATTAAAATTTTATTTTTAGTTATTTAATAATCTTGAAAATATTTTATCTTATGATTTGGAAATATTAGGGCATATTATTTTATAAAAAGATAATTTTTAAAGTCAACCGTATTTAAGGAAAGTCAAAATACTAGTTTAACTAGGAAATGGACCATTAAGGGTAGTAAAGAATTTTAAGTAAGAAGGATATTGAGATGGGGTATAAACACCCATCATATGCCTAAGGTGGAGTGCACCCAAAGGTAAACTCTCTCTCTCCTCTTATTTTACTTTCCCCTTAATTTTTCTCCTTCCCCTTATTTTCTTTTAATGTTTTTCAATCACCACCCACACACACCACCACACACCGGCCGGACACCACCACCGGCGCACGCCAGCAACAGCGGCCACCAGGCGGGCGCGCGATAGCCGCCCAGCCATGGTGGTTCGTACGCACCTTTCAAAAAAATTATTATTTTAATTTTTGATTTTTAATTCAATCTAGCCTAAATCTAATTATTGTTCTTGGGTTTTTGTGATGATTTTAAAATGTTTGATGATAAGTATTATATATATAAATTTTCAGATTTGGTTTTAAATTAAAAAGCCCCAAATTGAAAACCCTATGTTTCTAAATTAATGTTTATTGATGGAATTTAATTGTGGTTGATTAAAACTGTTGAAATAAGTATTTTAAAACACAATTACAGCATTTTTACAAGTTTTAATAATGTTGGAATTTTTATATATAACCTATAATTATGATTCTTGGAAGGATTTTTAATTTTCCATTAATTGGGAATAAAAGTAAGGGTTTTAAATAAAATTTCAGCTTGTTTTAGAGGGTTTATGAGTGATTTAAAGAGTGTATATATTGCTGGAAATTTGTGTGGAAGAGGTATTAATACTTCTTTGTAATTTTGGTTTGTAGGAGACTTTCAAGTGAGTGATTTTATTTAGTCGTGGCGATTTTGAGGTCATATTCAAGGTACGTTCGCGTACTTGGTAATTACTTGAATATGTAGAAGCATGCTAGGCTTTGTTTAGTTCATTCCAAGTAGTATCATGGTAGGTGATGATTGGAATTTGTTGATTGGATTGATGTTAGTGAATGATTTGTGATGTGTGAATTATTTATGGTGAATTAGTGATTGAAATGAATTATGTTGGTATGTTGATTGTGAACCACACTTTTATTATTGGCATGATAGAGAGCATGTTTAATTAAACTAAATGTTTAATTTGGTTTGGAATATGAAAAGGGAATTTTATTTTAAACTAAATGTTTATTGATGCTATAAGCATAAGGAAGGAGCTATTTAAGTGTCTTAGTGCACAGGAATATATTATATTGCGGTGCTTAAGTGCACTTAAGGTGTTTCAACACCGAGGGATAGGATTTGCGGCGCATTATGCGTTTAAGATGTCTTTGACACTGAGGTAGATTAAAAAGGGTTTAACTATTAAATTTATGTGGTCACTAATTGTTCAAGAATTAAATTAGTATGTTTGATTGCTTGAATGAATTATAGTGTTTGATTGTGTTATAATTTGAGAGTTATCACCAAGTATAATAATATGTAAACAACGTAAAGTGAAAGAGATTACACACCAAAAATCTTGGAACGTATATACCTTGAGTATGAACATATGGGGGGAGTTATGGAGTTTTATATTTAACCATGACTTCTACTGGGAGTACAGAACACTGTATTTTCCTTTTTACTTATCTTATGCGCAGGACGTCCAGTCACTTCATGTGACATTTGCCTACCCGGTTAGCTCCCGGTGTAGTTTAACTGGCAGGGATTTGGTTGGAAACCCGTTCGATGTGTAATCAAAATTAAATGAACATTGGTATTTGTCTAGTTAGGTGTTGAATGTTTTGTATGCTTGTAAACAGGTGCTACACGGTAAGTTGTGTGATGATAGGATGGAAGCATGTTAGATTTTTTTTATTACACTTATGTACTCAGCATTGCTGATTGTGTGTTTGTATGGCCTTGTCTTTACCTTGGCCCTACGACGACCCATTTCTAATGGCGAGTAGTGGGGACAAGTAGAGAGAAGCTTTACAGGTGGTGAAGCATATTCATGATGGGCATGAGTGAAGAGCAAATCATGCTTAGTTCTCATTGGAATATGATGTGTTTTATTATTTGTTTTGAATATTATTTATTTTATTCTGCTCATGAGACTAACGCTAAGTTTTTTTAGTATTGTTTGGTTTTAAGGGCCTACAATGGTTCCAAGTTGTAGGTTGACTTTATTTGACTTAGTTTGACTTTTACTTTCGTTTGGTTTGACTTTTACTTTCGTTTGGTTTGACTTTTTTAAGTTGACCTGTTTTTAAATGGTTTTAAAGATAGTCTTCCGCTGTGTGAGTCTTTGATATTTGCATTAGTCATTTTCACGGTGGCGGTAATGTCTTAGATTTTCCTACTTCGTATTTTAAAAGGGCAAAATAGGTATTTTAAAGGAAAGGAATTTCTATGGTGTTACGAAGGCCTTGTTTAGTTCAACTTCTTTTTAATAATTTCAGAAAAATGAACAACCAAGCTCGACACATTAAGGTAAAGATGGCACAAGGCCAAGTCAGGCGTGCATTGAGGTAAAAATAGCATTACGTCGGGTCAATTCGACTATTCAAGACACGACATGACTTCACACGGATTGGGATTTTACAATCCTGGCAAGATGTAGGTACAACACGACACATTATTTGGGACAAGCATAACAATGTACATCCCGACACCACAAAGCATTCTAAAATTGTGAGATTTGGCATGAACAACCAAGCTCGACACATGAACTTTAGCCATGCATGGATCATGTTATTGAAAATTTTGGCACGATATTTAGCTAATTAGGAGTCAGGCCTAGGCCGCCTAACTAACCCAAAAGCACACAGGTTTAACACGAGACACAGCTAACAACCATCTTTACATTAAGGATGTAGTATCAAACGAACCCTACTAAAGAAAAAATCAAAGTAGATAAGGTACGAATTCTCTTAGTCCCCACCCCCCTTAAAAGAGTATTGCAAGCTAAATTGCTAAGTTGTTGACTCATATTGGGTTGACTTATGTGGAGTTTCAATCCTTTATGACCTTAAATGAATTTTTTTGTAAAAATAAAAATAAATTTTGTACATTCATAGTACAAGGAGGCCACCCCAGTCAATCAGGCTGATTGATGAATATTGTAAATTAGCCTCTTTTGTGGGCCAGCTTTGCAATATAATACACTTTTTTATTTTTATTTTTTGTTTAAAAAAAAAAACCTTAGATCTAGCATCACGATTGACAGTGACGAACCACCACCATCTCTGTCTACCCCCTGTCATCTCGCCGGTCATCGGTCATCGCGTCCCTTTTCTTTTTCCCTTCTTCCTCCTTCCTCAACAACCACTCTAAGGCCGCTTCGCGACGGTAACAAAAATACAGCCTACTAGCAAAAGGGTGTAAATTAGGGCCATATCAACCCCTTAGGGGTAGCATCGCCTTCGTGGAAGCAAATTTAACCACCTTAAGTGGTGATGGTGTTGTTGTGATGGACTGATGGAGGAGGAAGAAAGTGTAGTGAGCTGTAATAGAGGACTTCTTCCAATCATCCTCATATATAGCATTGTTTGGAAATTTTTGGTTGTAAAAAATTGTCAACGGATTCTTGTACTCAATTCCCTTGGTTAACATGTCATAGGTGGAATTCCACCTAGTTGGGCAATCGGTTTTGATTTTTATTGCTCTTATCTTTTGTTGCTTTAGAAAACTCTTACATTCTTGGTATCTCATGTTTTAGCTATTAATAGACATAATATCTTCTCTAATTTTGTTGTAGTATGGACCAATTGCTCTAATTCCATCCCATACACATAAGTTAAGAACATGGCAAACACATCTAGTATGAAGTGTATCACCATCTATAATTAGCAGTATATGTTATTGAGGTTGTATTGTCAAATGTCATAGACATGATTTTTTCTCGAAGGTTGTATTCATTTATTGCTTCCATTAAATGGTGAGCAATGTTAATACCGGTGTGGGGGTATTCCAGCATTTTGAAATGGATTATTCGTTTTTGTAACAACCATTGATCATCTACCCAATGGCAAGTCACACATAAATAGTGATATTTATAACCACTATCCCAAGAATCGGCAGTCATAGACACTCTACAATTAAGTTTACTCAATTCGTCTTGTAACCGCATTTTGTACTGTAGGAAGTTTTTCATGGCGGCGGAACGAACGGTTTTCCTAGAGATTCTTGTATGTTGGAATTGTAATGCTATGTTAATGTAAGTACGTGTTAAATGGGTCACTTTCGGAGAAAAGAAAAGGTTGCTCGGCGTGTACTATCATTTTCCCTAGTTCATCCCTATCCCTCTCATAGTTGTAGGTAAAGACATGTGGATGGAATTGGGAAATTTTTGGCTGGGTTGGATCGCTAGCTGGTTTTGCACAACTTCTCATGTGTCTACTTAAGTGTCCCGTCCCGGACTTGGATTGTGCCGAGTATGTATGACCTCATGTTTTACATTTTGCTCTTGTTTGGGCTTTATTTAGGAGGAAAT